TTGAACCGTGATTCAGAAAACAGCATGCATAGTTAATGAGGTTTAAGTTGACAAAGTTTAAAGTTGTACAGAAGACACCTCTGCTGGGAGTACAAAAATGTTGTTTTTTGTTTCTTTTTCTTGATTATCTGTCACAAACTAACATGCCATTCCTATAAAGTTAATCTTTATTGTATTGGATTGTATCATTGGCATAACTAAAAATATCAATTTGTGAAAACATAATACACTCTAATCTAAAGCTGACAAAACTTGCATAAGTAAGGACAACACTGGGTGTGTAGTGCGTTGTGCTTGAGAGTAGTGGCACTGTGTACACTGAGACTCCCTATCAATCAAAAGCTGGCAGTCTTGCCAATAAGTTTAAAAACTGGAATGAAGGAAACAACCTGCTGTAGTTATGTCTGTAAAAGCTGTACATCCGTCTTACTGTTAAGTCTTATCTTTTTTTTCTTTTATGTGGAACAAACCTTCCTGCTATTTTTAATATCTGAAGAATGACAAAAGTCCTGTAGTCCCGTCACACCTTTAAAACCTGCAGAGAAGCAGGTAGGAAAATCCACCCTGTGCAGATTTTCAACTGACATGACTCTATTTAAGGCCTTACAGTTGTGTGAATGCTATTGTAAGCAAATGTGGGAAAGAAATGGCACAAAGAAAGTGATAATAGTCTCAAAAACTGGGAAGTACATAGAGTGAGTTGGTTTGTATGAATGGTTATTAACATTAGTTTGTGAAGAATATTGCTGATTGAAATACACAGCATGGCTACTTAGTTTGTGTAAAACGTAGCACAGCTCCAACATTACGACAAGTAAACAGATTTAAATGGGCAGCCTGTTATAATTCTGTTTCACTTTTAATTTAAGTATTTTCATTGTCATTGTTATGCAAACATGTGCTGCACTGTTTGAAATAACTAGTTTGCTTTGAACATGACGCCTCAGTGTGTCCGCGGGATATTGTACTGTAAGTCACTTTTGCAACTGTAATTATGATGTATCTAAAGCTCTACTTCAGGTTTTTCACACTAGAATTGAAACTGTGCTCAGGCCACAAACAACAACCACTTCTTCAAACTCACATCATACACATCATATTTCTCTACAGACTGCATGCTTATCCTTTTATACAGTCTATGTTGCTAATACAAAGTTATTCACAAGAGAATAATGATCAAGTTTGATATTCGACGAGTAACAAAAGCAGAGAACAACAGGACTGTGGCATCTTATAAAGAAGGAGATACTTTCCGCTCCTCATTTATTCACAAGCGGTCACCACGGTCACCACAGCAAGTAGCTACACGTGCTTGATTTGGCAGATTTTTTACATCAGATGACTTTTGTGACACGACTTCAGTCAGATGCTCCATGTTCCAGTTTTCATGTTGACATAGTGATTTAAATAAGTAAAGCAGTGCCTTTTAACAGTGAAATCATATGTAATAAAAATAATAAATCTGACTTTTCTTCTTCCATTTTGTACTTTGCACTTGGATTTAGTTATCAGAAAAAAACTTGTAATTGTTATATTGTCAGAATCAATCAAGAGACATGTAGTGAAACTGACATTCAGTACACTGGATAGATGTAAGAATGTTACTGATAACCTGATACTTCTGTTTAACTTCCTCTTTCATATGTGTGACAGTAGCATAAGGTTGCTCCTTAACCCATTAAAAAAAATGAACTTTGATCTTCGAGAATTTTACGTCTTCTTCATTAGGAGCACTTGTTCAACTGCTTGTTAAGAGAAATATCTAATCAGCCAATCACATTGCAGCATCTCAGAGCATTTAGGCAAGTAGGCATAGTTAAGATGGCCGAGCAGAACACATCTACTTAATTTGATGTAAGAGGAGAATGACTCTCTCCACTCATAGGAAGGGAACACTAACTCAAATAGCCACTTGTTACAATTG